GGCAGTGGTGTGTGGCAGAGTTGAACTGGTGCCCAGGTCCTGTCCTGGTACTGACTGGCACGAGACTTAACCACACGGGTCTGAGTTTTTTCCACTGGGGAAAACAACCCTGGAACGGCACATACACTGAGTCTGGTGGGAGTGGGAAGACCTGGCAGAGCTGGGGGTGCTTCAGGGGAGTCCAGAGTGTGAGCCGGCAGAGCATGTCGCCATGGTGACCTCCTAGGGACGGTCGTGATGACCTCATAGTCGTGGTCCCTGGGATGCTGCATGCCCATGGAAAACAACACGGAAAGGGCCCCGTATGCATCCTGGTCAGATTTGATTGCGGTTATTTTAATAGGACACGGTGCCTTGTAGAACCTGGACTCCCTCCTCTTTCTAGTCTAGGAGGTTCTGCCTCCCTGCCCTGCTGGGTGAGTGTTGTGCTCACACTGTCTTCCAACTGTTCCAAGCCCAGACTTACAACGCCTGTTTCCTCCTGCTCAGGGGCTAAGGGCCACTGGAAGATCCCATCCCGATCATCTGTAGTTCCACACTCAGTGAACACAGACATGGCCACATAACCTGTGCTAGGAGCTGAGACTGAACGATGAATGAAATCCAGGTCTCTGGCCCAGCCTTGGTCCCTCAGTGAGACTGTCAGTTTTCTCATACTCATGTCCTCTACTCGGGCAGTGTTTATGCTTCTGTCTGCACTCCATCATCCAGGGGTGAGGAAAAAGTTTGGCTGTAAGGAAGCGGAAGTGTGACTGCAACAAGCAGGTGGGGCAGTGGTGCAGAGGTGGGGCAGGGGTGGAGGTGGTTTGGGGAAAGAGTTCCAGTCTGTGCCAGGTATTTTACAGAATATCATTATATTTTAATCCACACCATAACTGTTTGAACTAGATAGCAAGAACTCCTGTTTTAAAGATGAAAATCCTGAGGCTTAAAGATGTTAAATTATGGGGCCAGCACTGTGGTGCAGTGGATTAAGCTGCCATCTGCAGTGCCGGCATCCCATTTGGGCCCTGGTTCCAGTCCCAGCTGCTCTGCTTCCCTTCCAGCTCTCTGCTAATGGCCTGGGAAAGCAGTGGAACATGGCCCAGGTGCTTGGGGCCCTGCATCCATGTGGGAGATCCAGAAGAAATTACAAGATCCTGGCTTTGGTCTGGCCCAGCCCTGCTATTGTGGCCATTTGGGGAGTGAAGCAGCAGATGAAAGATCTCTTTCTCTTTCTCTCTCCCTCTCTCTCTGTAACTCTGACTTTCCAATAAATAAATAAATCTTAAAAAGAGAAAGATTGAATTCTTTGCCGAAAAACCACACAGCTAGTTAATGGAAGTGCTGGGAGTCACACTTAGGTGGGTCTGACTTTTTAAACTCAGTCTGTTCCTATTATGTTTCAATGTCTCCCCTATTCTGTCTGACCCTGGTGTCCTGTGGGCTGAGATGAGACAGGAGGGAAAGGACATGTAGTCATGGAAGCCATAAAGTGCTCAGGACACGGGGACTCCGAGGAAGAATTCTGAACAGCTGAGGGGCATGGAGGCCCAGTCGACACACTCCAGAGGGGCAGGTGAGTATCTGCCTGGAGTCAGTAACCCACAGGGTGCCAGTTTGGGTCCTGCGGTGATCACCTGGGCAAGCTTCCGGGAGCCCTGGAAGACCTAGAAGCTTCTGCATGTGAAGTGGTAAATGCACTCCCCCCGCCGCCACCCCCTACCTTTGCATCTGGAGAACTCTGGAGTGCCCAGAAGGCACTCAGACAAGTGTGTGGGTGTGTGATGGCTGGCGCAGCAGCTCACGAGGCTAATCCTCCGCCTGCGCGCCAGTACCCTAGGGTTCTAGTTCTGGTTGGGGCGCCGGTTCTGTCCTGGTTGCTCCTCTTCCAGTTCAGCTCTCTGCTGTGGCCCAGGAAGGCAGTGGAGGACGGCCCAAGTGCTTGGGCCCTGCACCCCATGGGAGACCAGGAGGAAGCACCTGGCTCCTGGCTTTGGATCCGTGGAGCGCTGGCCGTAGCGGCCATTTGGCATTTGGGGGGTGAACCATCGGAAAGAAGACCTTTCTCTCTCTCTCTCTCTCTCACTAACTCTGCCTATCCAAAAAAAATGGCACTCAGAAAAGTGTGTGGGTGTGTGATGAGGGGTGGGAGGAAGGGGAGGCTTCAGTGTAGGAGCTACAAAGGATTTACAGCTTTCCCAGCCCAGAAATTTGCATGCTTGCTCTCCTCTCTAACCTCCTTCATCTCCACGGGTGCCATTGCTTTCTCGATTTCCTGCTGTACTTGCTTCCCGTCTCCACCTGATTTTACTTGAGTTCCTGGAGAGGGACCAGTGGAGAGCAGTGGAAATGGAGCTGTGTTCGAACCAGGTGCTCCTTAGCCATGTGAGTGCAAACGAAGGGTTTCACCTTTACCACACTCCCTGCTCTCACCTAGGAAGTGAATACAGTGCTACTTATTTCCTGGGACTAACTGGGAACTCCAATAAGGCGAAGTTTACAATGGCATCTAAGGCAATAACCAGCAGGCAGTGTATGTTCAATAGATGTTTGGCAGATGTATTAATAGTTATTGAATGCTAATCACTCCACACTTCATGCTTAGTTCTGCTTTTATTAACTAGAAAAATGAGCTGGGTGCCAAACATATGAAAAAGTACTCAGGATCACTAGCCATCAGGGACATGCAAATAAAAACCACAGTGAGTTATCATCTCACTCCAGGTACAACGGCTATCATCAAGAAATCGAAAAGTAACAAATTCTGGTGAGGTTGTGGAGAAAAGGGACCCCTATTACATTGTTGGTGGGGATACAAATCAGTACATCATTATGAAAACAGTATGGAGATTTCTCAGAAAATGAAAAATAGATCTACCATACGACTGAGCTAGCCCACTTCCGGAAGACACGATAATGAAATGAAGTCAGCACGTGAAAGAGATATCTGCTCTCCCATGTTTATCACAGTTCCACTCAGAAGAGCAAAGATACGGAATCAACCTGGAGGTCCATCAACTGATGATTTAGGTGAAGGAAATATGAGCTATTTTTCAGAAAGACAAATACCGTGTTTCCTCTCATATGTAGAAGTTTATATTTACATATATGATCAATGGGAGGAAGGTGGAGTTTCAGTGATAGGTGCTAAAAAGTTTTTGTAGATTTCCTAGACTGAAAATTAACATGCATTTATTTATATATGTGATGTGTGGATGCCATAGTAACTGGTACATAGAAATGAATAGGTGCTGTCTTCATTCTACCCTTCTTTACTAATTTTATGATCTTTGTCACAACTCTCATATTATGTGATATTAACATAACCACTCCTGTTTTAAAAAATAGTATGCATGTATACATATATGTATCTTTACATATCAAGTGAATATGGCAAAATGTCAACAATTGTTAAATCTATGTGTGCTCATTGACTCCTTATTTGTACTCTTTCATATGGTTTTAAACATTTTAAAATAAAAAGGCAAAAATAAAGGAGTTGGGGTTTTCCAAGGCTGGCCTTAGGGGTGTCAGCTGAGTCACAGTGAGAGAGTAGAATCCATCCTGTGTCCCTACCCTGCCATCATGCAAGACTCCAGGGAGAGCTCCTGACTGCAGGCCTCCTCCTGATGCTACAAAGCAAGCTTCAGAGGTTGCTGACCCAGCCCTCTCTGCTGTGAGCTTAGTAGTGAAGAAGCTGGGGCAGGGAGTAGAGGACTCCAGTTTGTCTCCACAGCTCTGAGGGTAAATATATTTTCAGTCGCCTTTCTGAGCCTCTACACTGATGCAAAGAAACCAGCACTGCCTTAACGTGGAGAGTGGTGTTCCCATCTAGCATGGCCCTCCCCTCCACACTCTTTTGGCTTAGATGGTCTCGCACTTTGAAATGCACAGAAGCCAGAAGACGGCTTTGTTGGATTCGGAGACGTGAACAGACAAGAAGATGGGCTGGAGCGCCCCCTGCTGGGAATGGATGGCTGGTTCACTTGCCAGCTTGTTGCTGTTCTCCACCTCAGTGCTGAAAATATTTCCCCTACAGTTTGAGACCATAGTATAACCTTGTCCAAGACAGCTGAGGAGAAGCTGAGCAATCCAAAGCCACAGGAAGGGCCCCTGCCAACCCTTGGTCTTATGGTCAGCTCTTTCCTTTCTGATTTGCTGACGTGGAGAAGCACACACTCTTACAGCAAACACATCCTGCATTATAGCCATGCTTTCTCCCCCTGAAGGAATGCTAAATGCTAGCAGTGTCTGTATGCTGTAATTCAGAGACTTTTAATGTCACTGTGTCTAGCTTTAAATGATACCTTTTATTCTGCACGTTCCATTCTCTGACATCCAGAGATGTAACTTCTTGTCTCATGTCATTTCTCCTCAGAGTCACAGCCTGGGAGGGGATGCTTCAAAGCACCCAGATTCCAATCCAGCCTCCCACTACAGAATGGACCCCCTGTCTCTCCTCCCTGTTCAGGCTCTACCTGCATACTCTGGTGACAGGGGCCTCACTGTCTTCCAGGGACGCCTGTCCAATGGTTACCAATTGTATTCACTCAAAAGTTTTCTTGATCCTCAGTACAGAGTTTTCTTGTTGAGACTTGCTCCTGGATTTGGTGGTTACCTCTGGGCAATGCAGAACAATTTGCTTCTTTTGTTCCATGATGTCCTTTTAACTTTGAAGAGGCTGTGTCCTTGCTTTCCTACTCCTACTCCCTCTTAGTTCCCGTCTTAGGGATAAACAGCTCCAGTCTCCTCATCCATTTCTAATGAGAAGTGATTTCCAGACTTGTCACCGTCCTTGGCGGTTTCCAGATGATCACAGCTATCATTAAGTGAGCACATAATTTTTTCTTCTGACATTCCCCACATCTGAATTCATTAAATCTCCACAACAATTATAATGAGGTAGATATTTCTGTTACCATCATATAGATGAGGAAACCAAGATCCACAGATGTTAAATAACTAGCTTAAAATCACATAGGTTTTAAGAGATACAACCAGGGTTTGAATTCAGAATTAGAATCGATAGTGACTTGTCTCTAAGTTTTTATTCTTAAACCACTAGCACAGCTTCTGTCCATTGCCTAATCAATCAGTTCAGTTTTCAAAAATAGGAGGTTGATACTTGTACATGGTCACACCCTTATGGCAGTCGCCTGGCCAAGAAACCCTAGATCTGGACTCTGATGCTCTCATTTTAGACTCTGTTCGTGCTGTCTACAGTGAAGCTGTCATGTTGAGCTGGTTTCAGTCAAACTCCCCAGGACTGACACAGAAAGTGCTGGAAGGTCATGTCCTGACTGTTCTTCCCTATCTTGGTGACAGAATCCCTGATCTCAAAGTGATGCTTACATCAATCTGGGGTTGGCTGGTTGGTTTTTGAGGAAGGGAGACCTAAGGGAAAGGTGCCAAGAATGCTCAGAGGAACAGAGGAGCTGCACAAACTACTTTATTTATGTTCCTCTGGGCAAGAAGAACACAGGGGAGAAGCTGTATATACAACACAACATCTGTAGCCAAGTAACTTATGGTTCTTTGTTATCGTTTCTGAAAACCAAAATGCAAAAGGCGAGCAAGCTTAGCTCTTGATTTTTGCAACCAACTTTGAAAATCTCCAACCTAAACCAAAAGCAAGACTAACTGGAGCTTTGTGCTAAAGGCCCTATCTCCCTGGAGCCTTCCTGCCTCTCCCTATCTCCTAATCCTCATTTCCGGGAGGTCATTTTAATTAGCAGGCTGTCATGGTGACTCAGCCTGCTGCTTCCACAGACAGGAAGAGAGCAGCCTCCCCGGGACCCATTCATCATACAAAGGCACTTTCTTCTTCAGAAAAATGCACAATATTTAGCTTGCCCCACCTCGGGGACTGCAGCCGCTGTTGTTTTATTTTATCATTCCTGCTTGCCTCAGGGTGCATTCTTTTGTCTTTTGCAGCTCCCTTTGCTGGCAATCACCCTTTCCTTATTGCAGATTACCAATGGCTACCTCTTCAGGGGTCAGGCTTGATCCCTGTCACCAGGGTTCTGGAGACCTTCACCGTGACAGACCTTCTGGAATGAGTGCCAACACTTCTCATTTTGAGGGGGCTACACTTTTGATCAAACTGCCCAGGAAAGGGAAATGGCTTCCTGAACACTTCTTGGAAGTTTCATGCTGGGCTTTAGAGGGATGGGAAAGCAGCATGCAGTTGATAGAGACTCTATCTATCTATCTATCTATCTATCTATCTATCTATCTCAGACATCGTTGATTTCAAAAATTCTGTCCCATTTTTCCCAACAGCATGTTTGCCTTGGGGTTGCATGTGTCGATTTGGGCACTGCGTTTCTAAAGCTGTAAACAATCATAGCCTATCCGAAAAGGCAACCTTCTGTAATAACTACATAACTTTAAAAGACAAAGAACTAGCTTGAGATGTGTGAAAGCCCTTAAAAAGGTGTAGGCTTTTGAATCTCCACGGTGAGGAAAATAGCATCTGTGCTGCCTGGTTCCAGGCTCCTATTTGATTCCTGGCCTTGAGCTGCAGGCTCCCAATCAATTTTCCATTGGTAACAGGGAAAATCAATGATGAAATTTCTCATTTTTCCCCTTCCCTTTCACTAGCCTATGCGTTATCCCACGCATCCTTGTCTTGGAAACCAGAGAAAGGTGATAAAGGTGATTAATTTCATGCCTCAGCAGGAGATGCATGCCCCTGCCCCCCCACGGAACCTCCCTGGTCTCCATGTCTTTAGAAAGGATTTGCAGGGTCTCTGTGGTTCACCTAGCTCTTCTTGCCCCCTTTGCTGTTGGGGTAGTTGCTCCGCAGGAATGGGTGCTTGTAGGGGCTTTTTCTTTCCTGCAAAGAGGGAGATAACAGTGAGAGAGAAGACAGCACATAGACACACCATAATGAAATCATTTGTGTGCATGTCATCTCCCCCGCTGGACCGTGACCTCCCAGGTGCAGTGGCCCCAGAACCCAGCTCACTGCCTGGTTCAAAGCAGGCACTGCAGCTTCAGTGAATGCCTGTTAGGTGGATGGACACATTGTATCATTTTGATTCTGCAGAAAACTTAATGGTTCTACAGCTACTACTCTTCCACCTTTTCACCCTGATTCCAACTCATTAACACACTGCACAGTGGAATGGGGATAGAAACATAGAGGAGCTATCATTTGGAAGAGCATGGGAGTGCATTCCCTTCATAGCAATTGTGAATTTCACTGGCTTCTTTATATTCTTCAGCATAGCCCAACTATGACATTGCATAATGTCTGTCTCCTCAACAAGACAAGGGGCTCTTGGAGAGCAGAGAACTGTCTGGATCATCTCCACATCTCATCACCCAGTGCAATACCCTTAACACCACTGATGAGGAACTGTCCATTTATCTTCTTTGTTGACATCCTGGATCACGAGAAGGGACCAAGTTTTATTCATTTTTGCATTTTCCCTCTTGCAGTGCCTTGTCTGTTATGTGGTTGACTGACAAAATGATGTGATCTTCATTTAGCCATTGGATAATATTTATTTTTGGTAGAAAGAGTGGGCTTTAATGACAGAATGAACAGAACTGAATTCCCAAGCTGGCCATGTATGAGATGTGGATGTGACTTTGGGCAAGTTATTAAGTTTCTCTGAGCTTCATTTGTAAGATGGGAATAAAATATTCCCACCATGCAGTGGTATTGTGAGGCTAAGTGAGATGTAAGTGAACACACTTAGTGTCTTCCCTACCCTACCGCGATTTACACAACTGTGGTGTTAGCTGTTAGTTTGGGTCCCACAAACTCTGGAAGTGACAGAGATGAGGTGGTTGTGGATGCTGTCCTTGTTACTTGCAGTGTAGGAGAGGAAATAGGTGCATAAACTAACTGCACGAAGCAGCAACTCCAGTGCACTGCAGAGAGGGGTAAACACCATAATGCAGGAGTCTCTTGGACTTCATTTGAATTAAGAATGGAGAAGTGCTTTCTTGTAGCTCATCTCACTCTGACCTTGGGATACCTATTTTCCTTCATTGTTGTGTGATCTTGAAGCAGTCCTTTTCTTTCTCTGAGTCTTCATTTTCTTTCTTTTTTTTTCCATTTCTAAAATAGGAGAAGAATCCACGTTCTTCCAGGCTCTTAGGCTCTGGAAAGATGGAAGCTGATGCAGAGTTTTGCAAATTCTGAGGCACCGTTTACATATCATGGAGGGGTGTGGCTCTTAGCACACAAAGGGAGCAGAGGACATGCAATGGGCATGTTTTTAGGGGAGGGGAAAGGTAGGTGTGCTTTCCCTAGAGAGGCAAGTCCAAGTTTGATCACAAGTGGGGTATCGGCAGGTGGATAGTGGCATGGATATAAGGTGTGCAGCATCTAGGGAGGGCTGTGATGGTACAGAATGATTTGAGAGGGTGGGTTAGGAAGGGAAATGGCCTCTGTAACCAAAACTGGTGGTGCAGGCGGGGTGGGGGGAGGGGAGAGAAAGAGAGAGAGAGAGAGAGGAAGAGAGTGGGAGAGAGGGAGAGAGAGAGGGAGAGAGAGAGAGAGGGAGAGGTGCACTGGAAAGCAAACATCCCATGCTCTGGGGCCTCTGCAGAGGCTTTCCCCTTCCACTCCTGTCCAGACTCCCCTCCTCTGGGGACCCGACTTCCCAGAAAAGAAGCCTCCCTCTTCTCCACACTCCTGCTGCGCCTTGCACAGCAGGCTACCCAGTGACCCACCGTTTTCTGAGTTGCCTCTTTCCCACCTGTTTATCTCCTGAGACTGAGTTCGACACACTGGCTTTTTATTTATAATTTCTGAGCCATGCGTAAGCCTGGGGTGGAGTGGGCACTTGGGGAGCATTTGATGAACAGAACTAAACTGCTCTGGTCTCGTCTTTGCCATCTCTTTTGCTCTAAGCATCCCGGCCTGTCACTGCCCTACAAAGTGTCTTGTTAGGGACTGCTTCCTGCCTTCTCGCTCCCGGCCTCCCAACCAAGAATACCCTCTCTCCCCTTTCTATTTCACCAAACTCAACTCTGCATGGCCCTTTTTTTAAAAAAAATTTTTTGACAGGCAGAGTGGACAGTGAGAGAGAGAGAGACAGAGAGAAAGGTCTTCCTTTGCCGTTGGTTCACCCTCCAATGGCCGCCGCGGCTGGCCCGATGGCAGGAGCCAGGTACTTATCCTGGTCTCCCATGGGGTGCAGGGCCCAAGCACTTGGGCCATCCTCCACTGCACTCCCTGGCCACAGCAGAGAGCTGGCCTGGAGGAGGGGCAACCAGGACAGAATCCGGCGCCCCGACCGGGACTAGAACCCGGTGTGCCAGCAACGCAAGGCGGAGGATTAGCCTAGTGAGCCGCAGCGCCGGCCTCTGCATGGCCCTTGAGACAAACTCAAACTCTACCTCCTCCCTGAGGCATTCTTGGGATATGTGTGCTAGCTGCCAGATACTTGCCAGGCTCTATAGGAGAGCAGTTTCTGCTTGTGTCTCACTTTCACCTCTCTTCAGTAGAAACGGGTCCAAGTCCAGGGTTTCTGGGTCTTCTTCAGATGTACCATTTTGTAGTTCAGTTGTAATCAGGATGTTGCTAGGACTTGATCTATGGTAGGCCCTGTACCATGCTCTAAGGACACATCCTATCTAGAGGAGAAGCCAGACAGAGACACTGTGACAGCAGACCATGGACATGCATGCTAGAGGGAGCCTGTTGGAGAAGAAGCTGTTCCGTCTTAGGTGGAGAACAGTAATAAGCAAACCCAGGGCATGATCTTTGGACCGAGATTTGTAAGATACCTAGGAATTCATCACCTATAATGAGCAGAAAAGGAGGAGACTCCAGGAAGAGGGAAAAGGATGAACAAAGACATGGAGGCATGCAAATGGCCAATGTGTGCATTCTGGAGCATAGTTCATGGAGTGGTGGAGCACAAGTGGGGAAGGTGCTCACGGGGCAGGGGTGCGGTAGGAAGCCGTAACTGAAGCTGAACATTAGACCAGGGTCTTGACTAGCAAGAAGAGGGCCTGGAACATTCTGCTACAGGAACTGGGGAGAAACCAGGGAAGGATTCTGAGAGTGGGCATGATCTGACACATAGCTGAGTACTCATTATGCACAGTTCAGTACCGTCGGTGATCTTTGCTTCTGTACACGCCTTTGTCCCATGTACAGGTGGCCTTCTGATGGACAGGGGCTATGTGTGATCCTCCAGCACAGGGCCTGGCACATAGCGGGCTCCAGTGTATAGCTAATGATCCCCACCGCCCCCCAACACACATATACACATCAGAACCTCACTACGGAGCCAGCCCTCCCAGCCTCTTGCTGAGCCCAAATCCACCCCCACTCAGAGGCTTCCCACACCCCCGCCTCCACTCCCACCTGTGCTGCACCACTGGTGCTTGGGTACCCACAGAAGCCCACTGGCCTCTTTATTTTCCCTGTGCAACTTTATGACCCTGGATGGAGCATTTGGGACTTTAGCTACATGACTGTGTCATTGTGGCTCGAATAAATGCAGGGGCTCAGTGTTGGTCCTCAATGCCATGAACCTGAGCTGGGGCTCTTGTGTCCATGTGTCTGCCCCTCCGCAGGGGCCCTAGCTGAAGGACCCAGTACCCAGGCAAGCTCCCACAGAAGCTGACATATTGTAATTATCCCCCGTGATGAGAGAAAACAAAGATAATTTTGAATCAAAACATGTAATTTTCCTTTAAAACTAAAACTGCTCTTTCACTTAAGCTATTTGATGCTTGGGTGGAAAATAACACAGAAGAGGGTGAAATATTCAAATCCTAAATCAGAGTACACAGCCTGTGTCCTCCTGGGAATTACATTTTAAAGGGCTACTGACCAATTTAGAGCTAAGTGGTGTCTATAGTCTGAAGAGGCAGAGATGCTGGGAAGAGAGCTCTCAATTTCAAGATGGGTGCATTTCTCTTGAGTCCTCATGGCTGTGGACTTGTGAGGAATGAGCCCCCCAGCCCATTCTTAAAGAGAGCTCCAAACCTCAGGACAAAGGGATGCTATGAGCAGTTAAAATGAGGGCCCTAAGGATTCCCCTGGATCATCTGGACCCAGCTTCAGGGGCCCCTCTTCCCCTGTCCCAGAGAACTCTTCCCTGTCTAAAGCCGAGAGGGAGACGGGAGTGAGGACTTAGACTCTAGTCCTGCCTCTGACCGCATGACCCTGGCCTGCTCCTTCAGCCTTCCGTGGGTCTCATGTCCACAGCCATATCATGAAGAGGGGCTATCGGGGGGGGGGGTATATTTTTCTGCCAAGGTTCACTTGGATATTTATAGTGTCATTTGTGTGGGTCATACAAAATTATAAGCTTCAACATTAGCCTGCTTGGGCTGGCGTTGGGGAGCAGTGGGTTTAGCCACCACCTGTGAGGCCAGCATCCAAAATGAGCACTGGTTTGAGTCCCAGATGCTCCACTCCTAACCCAGCTCCCTGCTAATGTGCCCGGGGAAGGCAGCAGGCAATGGTGCAAGTGTTTGGGCCCTTGCCACCCATGAGGGAGACCTGGATGAAGTGCCAGGCTTCAGGCTTCATCTAAGGCCATCCTCAGTTGTTGCAACCATTTGGGGAGTGAAGCAGCAGATGGAAGCTCTCTCTTTCTGTCTCTCTCCCTCTTTCTGTAACTCTGGCTTTCAAATAAATCATTTGTGAAAATAGCCTGCAACTGATCTGTCGAATTAGGAGTCCTGCCTGCGGTTGCCATGGCAGGGCCAGACCCAGTGATCTTGCAGGCCTCAGATGGCCCACTGGCTGGACATTCCCCACCCCTGGGAGGCAATCGCTAACGTGTCCCTGAGTCGCAGCACCATTTCATTGGTCTAGGCAACAAGGGTGCAACATGCAAGAACGAAAGTACTGAAGGACCAAGATCATTTTTATCAGGCTCTGTTAAGAGGACCTGAAAGAGACAATCCCCAAATTAACTTGCAAATGAGATTCTAGGAATTCTTTTGAGCTTTCTAAAGCTTTAAATGTGTAAGAACTTTAAACAAGCGGGAATGGCTTCTGAGAACGAACTGAGCACTTCCCTCCAGAGCGGAGGCCCTTGAAGGCAGGGGCCATGCCTTATTCATCTTCTCCTTCCAGCGTCTCCCGGCTGCCAGAGGCTGGCAGAAATTGCTGCTTTTCCTAAGTCAATGGATGCAGGGCAGGCTCTGCAGGGGCACAGAGAAGAGAAAGGTGGGACAAGCAGCCCAGGTGGTCTGTGAGCAATCCCAGAAGGGTACCAGTGAGAGGGCTTTACTTAGGCCTGAGGCCCCGCCATGCAATTCACAGCACGGTGGAATGTGGATGGACCTTGAAATGTCATCACCCAGCACAGCCACACAAGCCACGGAACTTGCCGCAGCCCGTGGTGAGCTGAGTGGACGTCTGTCACTGCAACCTAGACACTAGAGGGCTCTCCCAAGCTCCTACCTCATCTTCAAAGTCATTTTCAGATTTTGAAGTTTATTTATTTAGTCACTCATTCATTTTCAGATTGGGACATTTCAGAGGTTGTTGTTATTCCCATTTAATAGGTTGGTAGACAGAAGCTTCAAGAGACCAGGGAACTTGCTGAAGACCTCACAGCTTGCATGAGCCTGAGACTGAACTTGAACCCGCACTGATGAACGTCCACTGGAAGTAGAGCTTGCTGCAGTCCAATCCAGCTTTAGAATTATGACAGCATGAAATCAAACCCTGGCTCTGCCAAGAACCCTTTGACCTCAGGCATTTCTCTTTATCTCCCCGAACCTCCGTTCCCTTATTTGTAAGAGGGGAAACATAACGTCTGTGAGGAATAAAGATGATCCGCAACAAGCACTTCATAGCATAAATAACAGTGATTTGTATTTTTTTTATTAGTAACAGGGTAGAAAGGCAGGGTGCATCAATGCAAAGGCCTTGAGGCATCACCATACATGGGCAGGATCATGGCCAGGATCAGTGGAACGAATGGGCTGGCAGGAGCAGAGAGGTGGACATCATCAAGGAGCTGGATCACCGAGGGAGCAGGAGATGAGGCCTAGAGGTAGGGCCGGGCCAGCACATCCCAGGTGCCATTGGACATCATGGTCCAAATGCTGACTGGGCTTGCCACCGGCAGGCATGGGGACGCCAGGCCCTCAAACGGGATGGACGCTTGCCTTGGATCGTTTCTCCTCATTGGCCCTGCAAGTTGGCCCCAGCAGAGACGTCAACATGGATGTTTTCCAGGCTGTGTCCGCGCCAGCCCCAAAGAAGGGGGTCTACTTGTACAATTAGGATACGCTGTGCTGAGGGCTTGTCCTAATAATGACTACCACCGTCCCCACTTTACAGATGAGGACACTGAGGAACTGGAGAAGTTCATAAAGGAAGCCTAGGGGAGCAGGTATCAGGAGGAGCAGCATAGGAAACACCCACACTAACTTAGAACAAGGACTGAACTTGGCTTCCCGGTGACTGCTCATCCCTGGGATTCCAACATTAGACTCAACCCTGGCAGTATCCCCTCACTCTCTGTCCCCCACCCCCCAATGAAACCTATGCTCAGGAAACAGGCTCTTCTGCCCCCTCCCATCTCGGTGATTGGGCAAGGTTACCGTGCCCATGGCACCCACGGGAAGCAGGGCCAACTAGACGCTCAGGGGTTGCCCCAGGACACAACGGCAGGTAAACAAGACTTGGTAAACAAGTAAGCCAGACTACTCTGCCCTGCTCTGCTACTTACCGCAGCCTGGGCACGGGGATTGCCACCTTCTCAACCAGGGCGTTCAGCCGATAATAATCCAGAAACGTCCTTGCCACATTCCTGCCCAGCTTCATATCTGAGGGGCGTGTGTTAAGGAGCTCTGAAAGGAGACTGGGGCAGAGTGAGAAGAAGACTAGTGATACAAATGGTAATAGAAGTGAAACGGCAACACCACTCACTCTTCCAAGTGTTTTGTAAGGACGCTTTTCTTGACACTCACAACACGTTACATGTTAATTACTCTTATGATCTGCATTTTACAGAGAGCAAGCCTGAGCTGAAGTTAAGTAAGTTGTCTAAGATCACAGAACTGGGAAGAGGAGAAGCCAGGATAAGGGGCCAGGCCGTCTTACCCCAAACCTGTGCTCATAGCTTTTATTTATTTTTTAAAGATTTATTTATTTACTTGAAAGGCTGAGTGACAGAGACAGAGAGCTCTTCCATCTGCTGATTCACTCCCCAACTGGCTGCAATGGCCAGGGCTGTGTCAAACTGAAGTCAGGAGCCTGGAACTCCATCTGGAGTTCCCACATGGGTGGCACAGGCCCAGGTACTTGGGGCCATCTTCCACTGCTTTCCCAGGTGTGTTAGTAGAGAGCTGGATTAGAAGTGGAACAGCCAGGACTTGAACTTGTGCTCCAATATGGGATGTTGGAGTTGCAGGGGGCAGTTAAACCTGCTGTGCTACAATGCTGGCCCCTCATAGATTTCAAAACGTACTACAGCCCTTTACAATCAGTAGGCTTCCCTGGTCTGGCCTCAGGTGCTCAGGATGAAGCCAGATAAACAAAGCCAAGAGCAAGAGATCCTTTGTTATATACAGACCGTGCCCTATCCAACCCTCCAGGATCAGTATTCTATTTTAATAGGTAATTTCTGGTTTAGCTGTCAAACTCTGACACTAAATAGAGTACCCATTCCATCTTGAAATTTTACTAATAATGAATCTTCGGGGTAAGGATTTATGGCCTGTTGAAGTTCAAACCCCCTGGGGAAAGGAGGGCGGGTCCATTCTATGTTGACCATTAACACCTGAGTATGAATTACTCCACTCTCCTAGTCACCAACACAGAGTACCTGCACTGTGCATTGCATGTTGCATGTCAACCCACCCATCTCACACACGCTCTTCACTCTGCCTGAAGTGCCTCCTGGACTTTGCCCGAGCTAATGAGTACTCGCCACCCCTCCAGTGAGGTGGCGTCTCTTAAGTAGGGCATTCCAGGATCCTCCTGCCTTCTCTGCCCAGGGCTGCCATTGGTTCCTTGTTTCCTATCTCCGTACGTGTTGAACAGCTTCACTTACAGTACCGAAAGCTTTTCTCATAGTATGGGACTCACGTTTGCCCTCTGGAACCCTTAACCCTTCCTTCTCCCTGAGCTCAGCTCTGAGCAGCCACCCTGTCACTAGCCCTTCCCGGGGAGACCACCTATGCCTCTGAGTTTCTCCTCTTGCTTTTTTTTTTTTTTGACAGGCAGAGTGGACAGTGAGAGAGAGAGACAGAGAGAAAAGTCTTCCTTTGCCGTTGGTTCACCCTCCAATGGCCACCGCGGCCGGCGCGCTGCGGCCGGCGCACCGCGCTGATCCGATGGCAGGAGCCAGGTACTTAACCTGGTCTCCCATGGGGTGCAGGGCCCAAGGACTTGGGCCATCCTCCACTGCACTCCCTGGCCACAGCAGAGAGCTGGCCTGGAAGAGGGGCAACCGGGACAGAATCCAGCGCCCCGACAGGGACTAGAACCCGGTGTCCCGGCGCCGCAAGGCGGAGGATTAGCCTAGTGAGCTGCGGCGCCGGCCCCTCTTGCTTTCTTACCGCTAGAAGAGGCCAGCATCGTGTTTCCCCGGATGATGAGCAGCCTGCCCTACTGGGCCAGAGGAGAGTCCCCTCTAGTCCTTTTCCACAGTGTAGTGTAGTTGTTCCACGCCGCAGAACCACCCGTGTCACTCCGCCAAGCACAGCCCTTCAGGGGCTCCAAGCCGCCTTTAACGCGGCATTTCAAGGCCCGATCCCCAAGGCTGCTCACAGCGGGTTCCCTGATTTCTTTGCCAGCTCTGTGCCTGCCGCCTCACACCTTCTGCGCCCCTTGCCTTTCCGAGCCCGGCAACACTGCACTTCTGCCTCCCGGCTTTGCTCATGCCGGGCCATCCTCCCAGACCAGCGCCTCCCCTCACCTGCCGTCCAGGACCCGCCCCTTCTCAGCCTCCAGACCTCGGTTCCGCTGTCCGTGCGCTGGGTACCTCTTCCATGCACAGTCTCTTTCCCAGGCCCTCACCCACCAGATCCTTTCCATACTATGATAAATCTAGGACAACTGAAGAAGACATTTCATGAAGAGGACACAAAATTAACACCAATGCAGAGATGAATGTCCACTCACCCATCTGTCCATCCATCTAGCCTTCCACACATACGTCCGTCCATCCATCCATCCATCCATCCATACATACATCCATCCATCCTTCCTCCCAGCCATCCTTCCTCCCAGCCATCCAGCCAGCGGCCCACCCATACAACATGCTTAGAAGACTGCACTGTGCCAGGATCTGTGTGATGGGAGGGCCCTGGTGGGTCATGGAGGAGAGTATGAAGAGATGTAGTTGGTGACAGTTGCTGATGGCCTTCCATCACTGTCTGGGGCTGGCCTGGGGCATCCAGGCCACCACTCTTCCCAGGGCCATGGAGATGGGCCAGCATCTGAGAAGCAGTCAAGTGAGTCCTCACCCCCTTCTTCACGGAGTCCCCAGGCCGGGGGTAGGCCTGGCCCAGGACCTGAAAACTGGCGTTTATGGAGCACCTGCTGTGTGCCTGGCACTGCACTTAATGCTTTGCCTGCATATGCATTTCACTCTTTAAAACAACCCCGTGCAGGAGGTGACCTTGCTTGGGGAGGTTGGGTAACTTGTCCACAGCCACAGAACTGGTCGTGGCAGTAGAGTCAGGACTCAAATCCAGGTGAGACTGACCGCAGAACTGCGATCTTTCCATTACCCTGGGCTGTTTCCCAACTTGAAAGCACCTTTTCTGTCAAAGCGTGAGTCATCCCAGGCCAGCGCCTGGGGGGAAAAGGAAAAACACCGGACAAGGTGTTTATGACAGTGAGATGCGCTGCAGGCTTGCTGTGCTCCGAGGCTGCCACCTGCTTTCTCATCTGGATGTGACCGACCTTCTCCGTCCCATTCATTAAAAAAGTTCACAAGCTGGCATTGGGTATGGCCTCTCTGACCAGCAGACCCCGAAGGCAGCCTCCCTGCCAGGGCCCACAGAGGCAAGCTGGCTGCTTTAACCCAGCCAGTCTCTAGCTGGCTCGAGGAGACCGAATCGCAGGGTATGGGCTGACAGAGCCACAGGACGTGGAGGAAAGCAGAGGTCCCTGTGGGCTGAGTGAGAAAGTTGCAGCAGAAGTTCTGTCAACAGATGTATCCCATCCAAGTCCCGGCTGTGCCACATGCTGGGCACACAGTCTGTGCTTTCCAAAGATTGTCTGCAGCAGTATCGCATCGCCCAGCTCATGGGCTGTTCCAGGATACAGCCGTGGGGCTCCTGCCACGAGAGTGTGTTCTATGTCCCTGCCCTTCTTTCGTGTATGGGAATGAACGGCAGAGTTGACACTGGGGGTCCTATGAGGCAAGGTCAGAGAAAGGTAATGTTACTTGCACCTTGCTTGTCGGAGTAGTTGAACTAGAGTCCCGAGCTTGCAGGCAAGCCTTCAGACGGACCCTAGGCCCTGGGACTGCACGGGCAGAGGTTCCTGGTCGACCCACGTCTCCTCCAGCGCTCTGCTGTTCCAGCTCTGGCCGTTACTGACTGCAATCACACCAGTCTCGAAGCAAGAGCCCCCATCTAGACCGCCTCCAGTTTCTGACCCCCAGAGAACATGCAAGTATAGTGATTGCTCTTTCAAGCCCCACTACGTTTTGGGAGATTTCCTAACATACAAATTGAGAACTGAGACACTGTGTGACCTTGTACAAGTTATTCTGTCTCCCCAAGCCTCGGTTTCCTCATCTGTAAATTGTGAATAATAATGTTATGGAGTTGTTGGGATTAGTATGTGATTGCACTCGCCTGTGAATAACCTGGGGGCTGCCCAGCGGAAGGAATGGGGAAGCCAGAAGCCTGGGCCCTGCGCCCTATCTACACTGAGAGCCGGACTTGCTGTTACCATACGAGGTATCCTTGTTAATCGATCCTTTCGGATCTTGCAAGGGAAGAGGGTGAGCTTCTCAGTGAAATGTCCCACTGCAAGGTGTTAATCATTTGGGGCAGTCTCTGTTTAGAAGACAGCGTGTTGAAGACGGGAACGTCTGGGACAACCCTGTTTCCCTTCCCCCTCCAATCCTCAAACTCTGAAAGCCTCGCTCCAGATTATTTACTGCAATGGCCCTGCTCGAGTCCAGGAATGGGACACAGGTGAGCAGTGGGGAGGGATTGATTGAACATTTTCAATTAAAATAGGCTGTCTTTGAACAAAGATTTAAGATCTGGGCAAGGGGAGGCAATAATTCTCTTGCCTAGAACCCTTTTCAACATACTGCATTTTTTTTAAGAGAGAAAAAAAAATGGAGGTGACAACACTCAACTATTCACTGTCAACGAAATTCTCAGGATGGTCTGTCAATGGGAAATCTCACACCATCCTCAGAGCCTTATGTAGGTCACTGACCTGTTTTGCACAGATGGTAGGGAACGCCCTGCCATGAGAGGCAGGTGGGATCCGGACCCTCAGAGCAGACAAGCAGGAAGATCGACTGGCATTGTCGGAAACTCGGACTGACTTGGTGACTTTGGCCCAGAGCTGCTTAGAATTAAAGGGTGAGTTGCCAGCCCCGTCCTCCTATTTCATGGGGCCCTCCAATAGATCTTGAGGATCTGAACTCTGAGAGATCATTTCCATTCATTCCTTCACTCATGCATTCATTCGTTGATTCATTTGGTGGCCTCTGCCCATGTGTATACTGCTGCAAAGCAATGGAGAATGGGGTTAGGTACAGAAGGGTCAGGCAAATGCATTCTACAGTCTAGAGGAAGAAACCTACAAGTCCCAATTAAGTACGCTACCAAGCAGGCTGCTGTAT